TCCCGCGTGCGTAGTATTAGTATGGCTCTTCTTTGCACAAGAAATTGATAGGTTTGACGATGGCTCGGTGGGATTGAATTCATTGATTGCTCTAGCTTACGGAAACCTCACGGAGTGTAAGTTTTCTTTCCTTCTTTGCTCGATTATGTAATCAATCGCTTATCTTTCTTTGCCTGATTCATCATCTTCATTATCAACACATTCCTGGTCAGATCAGCCGTCACGGCGACCCCTTCGTCCAAGGCATCTACCGTTAAATCGGTCGTTGCAGACACCTGGTCGGGACGAAGGCGGTCCCAGTCTCCACCATCGTCTCCTCGTTTGTCCATGGATAGTATAATCACTGCTCCCCCTGCAGGCGTTCGAGATCTGCTCCGACACCGTGCCCACAACCGTACAGAACGCGAAGTCGCGCTCAATACACACTAGCCCGGAATAATGCATGTGGAGTTTGATGCCAACAATGTGGCGACAATTTCTTCAGCATTACGGGCCTGCATGTGCATCAGACACGGGGTGCGGTCACGTGTGCAGCTTTTGCACGATTGGCAGCCACCTTAAATACAAGTGCGGCTGATCAGCCTCCATTACCTGCGTCTGACCCACCCATTTCTCCCCCGCCTGACCCCGCATGTTCCCCAGCCTCAATAGTCAATGACCTGCCTTCTGATCGTTTGATGGAGCCCCTGACTGGAGATGACATCTCTCTGGAGTGTGTGCTAGAGCCAATGCAGTTCCCACAAACGGAGGAACCTGATAGAAACGATCAAGACCACATTGAATCTCCGCCTGCCGCACTATCCACAGAACTGAATGAATTGCTCACCCCCCTAGTCGCCTGTCCAATATGCCATCGTGGCCTGCCATGCTTAAATAGCTGTGAACGTCAACCTGCCTTGCTGCTGACATGTCAGCAATGTGCCATGTGTCATCAATGTTTCCAGGAAGCTGTCAAAGAAAGCATGTGTCTCTTCTGAGTGTACTATCCACGATGCCATCATCCACCACGTCCTCTCACACGTCCCACATGCATACAATTACTGCAAACGACATCGGATCTCATTCTTTCTTGCCTGACGAACAGCACACTCAACAGCCTGAGCAGCAAAATAGAGTACCACATGACCCACTTATAGAGCCCTGTGCTGAAGGGCTAAGACCACTAGGAAGAACTGTTGCAGAACAAATCCTGCAGCAGCTAGACACCCTTGTTCTGGATGACCACCTCTTGCCACAGTCATCGTCGTCGTCGGTCCATAAAGGAATCAATGCCGAGGAAACCCAAAACACTTGCTCAATGGTGTTCTTTATGATCCACCTGAGATTCGGATGGCATGTGGGCTGCATGCATTGCGTCATGAGGATTATGAAGGCACAGCCCGTGCTTCTTTCTGTTTTCATACGTATGATGACAGTCAATATTGCACTCACGTCCGGCACCCTGACATGTCATGTCCAATTTGTAGACAGGGGCTCGAACGGCAATGCCTCTACAATTGCGGTCAGCATGCCTCTGTGTTCCTTGTCTATGGGAGCCAAGTTGCCTGCGATATCTGTCTACGTAGTGCCATTCGGTGCAGCAAATGCAACTGCAAGAATTGGATGCGATGCTTCCACAGTCCGCACCCGAATCGGTGCTGTCCGGTCTGCAGGAGTGGTCACCTACTGTAGGCAACAGCTACTCCCCATCCTGCAACCCGAACACTGTTTGAATTCTCGTGTCATTAAACAGTCGCCTGCTCCAACGGTGTGCATGAGAATCTATTGAACTCTCTCTCTCTCTCTCTCTCTCTCTCTCTCTCTCTCTCTCTCTCTCTCTCTCTCTCTCTCTCT